AATTACAGTCTTGGTAAATAATTGGAAAAGGACAAAAACACTTACATTTGGAATTTTACAGTTACAAAATTTTGGAATCTATTAGTTTGCACACGATTGGGGCGAAGATTATTTCTTTAAGATCTGGAAATAATCTTCGCCCCAATCGTGTGCAAACTAATAGATTCCAAAATTTTGTAACTGTAAAATTCCAAATGTAAGTGTTTTTGTCCTTTTCCAATTATTTACCAAGACTGTAATTCAGTATCACCATTACTGCTAGTGGCCTTAATAAACAGTTTTATTATTATTATTATTAAAGGATCACACTCTTTCAACCAAAAGAGCTTTTAGAAATACTCGAATTTACTGCATATATTGTTTTTAAAATAGATTGATAACTACAAGAATGGAGCTCATGACTTCTCAACACCAGTGTGAGTATTACTGAGTTTCTGCACAAAGAATTCGGAGCGACTATAGAATACCCGTCCACTTATACATCCCTTACCCCGGGTTCTGTACCGGCAGTTGTTAGTGCCTTTAATTGTTTAAGAATGACACAAATATTCATAGGTGTAATATAAATTGTACTGTGTTCAGTGATGTTCACTGCCGACTGCAGTTACAGTAAATCAGGTGAGGGTAATGAGTGGACAAGTATTCTATAGTTCAGCCAATAATTTCAACGTGTAGTTTGTATTCAGTTACAACACAGTATTATAACCATAGTATGGGCATAATTAAGAGTAGGGCCCAAAACTCCCAAATTCAACCTATCCCAGTCAAAACGAGGCATTGGTCATTTTGAGGGTTAACGTTTTGTTTAGCATGACCATATACCCTCTTTTGGCTAGGCCAGTTAGACAACACAATTCTGTCTATTGCCATCGCATGCAAGCACATTGCCCTGTTTACAATACAATGGAAAAAAATTGTCCCTGGTAGCATGGTTACACTCCAACCCACGCAACCCTGTAGGGAAAGTTAGCTTTTCTATGAATTTTTGTAAAATGAAGATCAAGGGTTTACATTTTTAGTTTCCTTGCCTATAAGAGTTATCCGACCGATAGGTTGACAAAAGGGTTACCCTTTTGTTACCCAATGTAAACACTTCTCTCCAGCAGCCAGAAAAACCCTAGACAACTAAATGTCTTGAACATGCAATAAAATCATTGTCAATCTCTCTATCATATCATTAGTCATCCTGATCACAAAGGACAGCTTTTCACATATAAATGCTCATTAAGCTTGGCTTAGGTAGACGGGTAACCATGGTACCTGGGACAACTTTTTCTGATATAAACAAAGCCTAAGTCATCCTTACAACATGGCTACAGCAATGATGTATTAAAGTTTGTTCCATCTTTTGCCTTTTCAGRTCAAAACCCATTCACAAAGACAAGGTTAGTTAATGTATTATTTTTATTTTAGAATTGATAAGGTCGTAAGACGAAACTAGTTTTCTCAATAAACTGCATTTTTTTGAGTGCATAAAGGACTGAGTATCTTAGTTTAAAACTAGATCCATTACTTCAAGATGAAATTTAAATTTTAACATGATTTACCATATCTAAGGGCAACAAATTTACCAATAATTGATAATCAGTCGATTGAGGCACCAATATTTTATACATGTTCCAGTCAGGTTTCATAGTTTAACACACAATTATTTTGTTATTATACTAGATACGATCTGTCATGAAAAAAGAGATTGAAAAGGCTGGTGTAAATGACCCACAAGTACTTGACAAGTCGTACTGGATACAGCGAGTTGGAGAGGTATTTTACTTGGTTTTTATTTTACATATTTTAGAAAATAAATACTAGATAAAATTAAATCTTCTTGTGTTCAGAGAACTAAAAAAAGAAAGAAATGGTTGAGCAAGTCTTTGCCGACCTCTGAATTTTGCCTGCTTAGTTGCATGCAAAGAAACCAAGACAAGGCTCCATGCCTTTATAGTCACCCCTGAAGATCTATTGCCATCATATGTCAAATTACTTTATAAGCACAGTATATTGTCTTGATTCCTTTTCGGAGAAATACTGTAGTCTCTTTCAACAACCGCGACTTCCGTTCTCGTCAAATTTCCTCTCCACTTTTGGGGAGGAAATTTGACGAGACCGGAAGTCGCGGCTGTTGAAAGAGACTAGAAATACTGTGGCAAAAGCAGAAAGTCAGATATTGAAGGTACATTTGCAGGAGCCCAAGGGTGATCTGGAGAGAGGAACTAACGATAGATGATTACTCCAGGGTCAAAGATGTTGACAATAAGGCTTTTTGRAAGCAATGAATAGTCCTTGTTGYRWTCTTSTCTTTCCTCRGAGCCTTGTCAACAATTTTGCCCATACAYAATTGATMAACCAGAACATCTGGGCCGAGTTGTTCAAAGCCYGATTAGYGCTAATCCTGGGTTAACTCTYAGAAAACCTATGGAGTTAACCCTGTATTAACGCTATTRYCGGGCTTTGAACAACTCGGCCTTGAAGTTAATTTCCCTTATTTTCATTGTATCATAAGTAGTCAAGTATYAACAGCATCAAMTTMTCTTTCAGCTTTCTATTCAACTACAACAAAGCAGCGAATATTGGGCCCATAAAGTGAGAGACTTGACAGATCAAATAGACAGTAAACGATCCCCTCTACATTGACCACGGCAGCAGACCAATGCCAGGCCAGTTAGTCAATAAGACAAATGTAACATACACAAGAAGAAACAACAAATTCCCAGAATGTCAGTAATTTTCACTGTACATTATTGCATGCCAAATATTAATCAAGAAGACGTTTTAACAGCCACAGGACCTTTTGTAACAAATTTATTTTATATCATGTATAATATTGTGTACATTACAAAAAAAATGGTTTAGCAAATGTAGATTATAAACAGTTCTGCCTGCAGAAGTATGTTTTACAAATTTTTATGTTTCTTTTATTCAAACATCATTAAAATTGAGAGACTTTTGTATAATAAAAATCTTTCTCTCTCTTTGTACCTTGTCTTAGTTTAATTAGAGTAATTTATTATCATATAAATAGTTCAAATACAGGAWATATTTTGTGGTGATCATCCAAATAAGAATTGGAAAAAATTTAAAATGTTTTAAGCGATTGGGATTGAGAGTAATAATTCCTTAAACCCATTAACTTCTTACGCCCTCCCCTTCTCTTTCTGCTTGCAACCTTACCACTACACTACGCTTAATTGTATACAGACAATTAGCATTCATTGAAAAGTGGTTGAAATTATATTTGACATCAAATCTTACTTCCAAAATGACTTTTTAGATTACCATTTACAAAACCATGATAGTCTTGCTGTTCAACTTCAGTCTTCAGTTCAAACATAGGTAGTTTACGCAACGCAACAATAGCTAACTTCAAGCAAAGATTACCTGTTATACCCCAGACATAATAAGTGGATTCTCCTTGTTCGTAAGAGAAATAATGGATTGGTAATGTAGTGTTTCCATGGTGATAGTGATGCTGGCGGTGTGACTCCTCCARAAGGAAGAATTCCAAAGGAACTCCAAACACCTCTGACACTTCATCATTCGTTGAAGCTTGAAAATCAGGTTTGAGAATTCCTACTACAGGATAAACAGCAAGAAAAGAATCCTTTCCACCCTTAGCTATAAGAGGCGTCCATGTTGAAACTACTTCGACATCATCCATAGCAATTCCTATTTCTTCRTGGGTTTCTCGTAGAGCTGTTTCTATAATGTCAGCATCTTTATCCTCCATTTTACCCCCAGGAAAGCTTATTTGTCCTTTGTGTGTCTTTACTTTGTCAGATCGGCGAGTAAGCAGTATGTGAACGTTGTTGTTTTTGATAAACAAGGGAATTAGCACAGCAGCTTTTCGATATGTAGACTGTTCAACAGATCCACCATACCAATTGACTTCGTGTCCTGATTTAGCATAAGATTGCAAATTAGTTTTGCAAACGTTTAAAGCATCCATATTTTGKGTATTTTATGCAATCGCGATTGAAAATCTTAGTCTATGGAAAAATCATCCACAAGATACTCTAAATAAACAAAATCCAACAGGCGTTTAGTCTCCTCTCGCAGCCGTTAGGACGTTCGTTCCCAGGTCACAGGGGGGAGTGACCTGGGAACGAACGTCCTAACGGCTGCGAGAGGAGACTAACAGGCGTTACAAGCTACCAGTCCCAGTCCTCTGAATCACGTGACTAATTGGCAAGTGCTACACGTGCAACAATAACAAAAATATGGAAGTGCTGCAAAAATGGCTAAAATTTTGCATTATTTTGCCTTATGAAAGCTAAATATTAGCTGAAAACTGTATCTAAATGATTGAGGGCTGTTCTGAAATCGAAAACAGGTAAGAATAATTTGAAAATGTCATGTTTTGAAGACATTTTGTGTCGCCGCCATTACTGATTTGMATGTTGTTGGAATGGCTTTATCTCTGTTAAATACAGCTTTAAAACTGCTTCTTAAGCTGTTATTCTAGTTATTTACAATGTTTTCTTCAAACTATAAACATTATGTAGTTTTTGATGTGGAATTGATGTAAGTTTGATATTGAAATCTGTTCCCAGGAGACTGAATTACATTGTACTATAAATTCACAAACATTGCTTTGTTTATTACAGAAATCATGTTCAGAACTTGAACAAGATAAACAACTTTGCCATGCAGCACAACCATCAAGGCCAGATGTCTAACATAGGTTATGAGATAACCACTGTAATTGCAGGTTTAATGGCTGTAACGACCTGTGACTGAAAGGTAGTCCTGTGTGACTACAGATAGTCAGCCAAAGGACTTGCCCAAGTGGCAAATAGGTAGGTATTGTATTGTGATAGATATCAGTTATAACCATCCAAAGAAGACATACATGTAGGAATGTACAGACTGTGTCTGATGTGTGTGAACTTTGTTGTTGTTGTTGTACTTTACAAATACACACAATTTCTAGATTTTCAAACACAATGCTAGGGGAAACCCCCTTTCTGTATTTCAACAAGTTTATTTTTGTTGGATTTTTGGTTAACTGTTTTTCTTGTTTATTTTCAACAGCTTGACAGAAACAAAAACTGATGCTATCAGTAACAGTCAAGCATCCAAAGGCCTTCATAATGTGACAGAACTGTAAGTGTCATTGTTGTTTTATCATCAGGGACAGACCATTTGATATAAATTGATGGAGGGTCTCTTGTAWTTTGATTATTTTTATGCCGAGGATGAATGGTCTGTCCCTCAATAGTTTGTGGGAATTATAAATTATCTTTATTATCAAATAGGCATTGTTTTAATGTTATGTCAATCTCTTTATTTGCAGATAAATAAAGTCTGTCACAGAAATCCAGGAGATACCAAGAGAACATGAAGACCTAGATTTTAGAAAATTATTTTTTGAGGGGCTGGGGGACTGTTTCATAGGACTTTGAGACAAAAATAGGATAAGGTTTCATAAAGAGTTGAGGATACTAGGATTAGTTGTCCTTTCAATGCTTCAGCATTTTCACTGGATGCAGTATGGTCTTCTAGGCCTGTATGCAAACCATTCTAGAATTTATTAAACTTTTTAATTAAAAGTTTTTAATATCAAGATTTCAAGTTCAAGAGTAAGAAATTTCTTGTACAAAGAAGGTTTTTTCATAGATGCCGGTCCTCCAGCCCCTAGCAATAGATACAGGAGAGTGTCCTGATATAGGTTAGGTTTAAGCTTTTTATTTCAATGATTTTGTGGCTTCAATGAAGCCTGGTGTTTTCATTTCATAGACCTCGGGGTTTAGATTTGCAGAGAATTTGAACTCAACACTGGGACACTCTCCTGTATCTATTGCTTTTGATTTTTTGAAAAGAAATAAACTTCATGCCTCCCACGAGGCCCTGCCAGCACCAAAAGAGAAGCCACCCCTGCAGGCCAAATCTTTTTGGTAGTCTCGCTGCCCTGACTAGAGCCAATCGGTTATAAGGCCAAGACCAGCAAACTTTAGRMTGCCCTGATACTGGAGACTGACTGCATGGATGYCAAACCTTCACCCACCCAGACTCCAGGAGGGGACTCTGGTGTCATTCAAGYYAGCAAATAAGGTGAGGGTCAGTGCAAATGTGAGTCTCGGATGACCCTTCCCCACCACCCACTGAATGTGCATGACAGCGATGYACTGGGTGATCAGTAGGCYTKAAGTAARGCTTCATYCAGACTTCTCCAAACTAAGTGATTATCAAACTGACATGGAAGACTAAAAATCATTTTTTCTGGGATAATATTGTGCRTTTAAATGTTGTCGGCGACTGATAAAATGGCCTCTACCACAGATTGCAATTTAATTGAAGTTTTTTCACCAGCAAAGTGAAGACCTCAGACCCTTAAACCATAAAATTTAACCTTGTCGATGAACGATGCAATTGTGAAGTGCTCTCCTTATTGAAGGATTGTATAATCAACACTGACCATCCTTACTGTTTATGATATTGTCAGAACTGGAGTCAAAGAATCATTTAATAGGAAATTCTAAGTGGAAAGTTTGCATTGAGAAAAATTATTGTCCAAATAATGGACATAAAAGTGAAGTACAATTTGCAATTTATTGTTGACATGTTTCTATACTACAACATGAAATCTTCTATCAAAACTATTTACAAAAGTAGTATTTCTGCAACAATTTACAAAAAATTGTTTACTCATGAGTTATTGAATTAACTAAAATGTTGAACGTTTTAGTTCTTTATGGTGCTTTTTTATAAAAATTGCTTAAGAATGTTGAAGCGAATGTCTAGAAAAGATTAACAATTAAAAAAAAAAAACACAAGCGATTTAAACCTGGGGTCTGAGGTCTTCAACTAAATACTTTTTCATTCTTGACTAAAATGCACTTGAAACCAAATTGAAAACATTGCAGAAAAGGAGAAAGTTTTCTTGTACTAGAATATTGTGAAAACAATGGCATACAAAGTCGGTAAATTTTGAAATATGAGGTGAATTGCAAAGGTAAAAGGTGACCCATGAAAAGAAGGGTAAAAACACCAAACCTTAGAATCCCATGCTACAAAGAGGTCAAAAGTGAAAACACTGTATCTCAACTTGTGAAGTGATATCTGAAACATGTCCGAAATGCAAACTGCAATAACAAAGAGAAACAGACTGACAAAGTTCAATAAATTTGCTACTGTACAGGTATATGTACAAATGGGAAAGAGAAAGCCATCTCTGATACTAAAAGGACATTTGTYGCTTATAAATAGATGTAGAAAACTTCACTTGAAAATCAATTACACGGCTGTAGCGAATTCTACATGTAAAATGTGCAATACGCGGAACTTTGACTTGCCGAAAGTTTCTTTGCTGGTGAAAAAACTTATCTTAGGTTAACATTAAAATTTAAACTTGACAATAAACTTTTTTTCTGCCACCATGTTTTTGATAAACCACTTTAAGATGTAAAGTATTACCATTAGAAGTGCTATAAGGCAAACATTTGAGAAACTTCTAATGTTGAATGATTTTGAATGTATTAGCGGCGATACTAGAGATAAGGACTTCATTTTGAGTTCATTAGCCTAGCATCCATTATGAATTTTATATGAGCTAATTAAAGCTTGTTTAAAATTCAAAATGGATGCTAGGTTAATCAATTCAAATTGGCTTCCAGGGTAATCAATTCAAAATGGCTTCCTGGTTAATCAATTCAAAATGGCTGCCAGGTAATCAATTCAAAATGGCTTCCAGG